GTATCGCCTAACATAAAGTTATTCAAGGAGAGAGAACACCAGTGCTGCAGGGAAGACTGCGGCTCAAAACGAGCACGCGATCGTATACTCAACACGGCCACATCATTCCGTTTCCAAATAAATTCGCGCTTGTGTCGATCCCGCCGGAGCGACTCGGCGTGCGTCACTTGGTTCGTTTGTTGGCCGCGTTTAATACGCACGCGCCTCAACACACGAGGGCCCCTTTTCGCGGCTTCATTGAGCCGTGGCCCGCCCCGTCACACGTACTCGCGCGTGACGCCGAGGCCGCGTCGTCTCCTTCACGCTCCGCCACTCAGGCCACGTGTTCGGACCCGCCACGGTGATCTAGTGGCACTCGGCTGCTGACCCGCAGGTCGTGGGAGCGAACCCCGGCCGCATTTTCGATGTAATCGAAAATGCTAAAGACCAGTGTGTTCAGATTTAAGTGCATGTTAAAGAACAGGGGTCGAAATTTCGGGAGCCCTCAACTACGGCGTCTCTCTAATCATAAGGTGGTTTTGGACGTTAAAACCCAAAAATTAATTATTTAATTTTTAAGCAACGTGTTCACACAGATACCCATTGACAAAATGAACAACCACGGTCTTCTCGGTATAGCGACGTGAAATATGCGTGAATCGCAAAGTATGTGGGAGTGCACACCTTCACTAGTGCGACCCTAAGAACTGACCCCGCCGCGGTGGTCTAGTGGCTAAGGTACTCGGCAGCTGACCCGCGTGTCGTGGGTTCAAATCCCGGCTGCGGCGGCTGCATTTCTGATGGAGGCGGAAATGTTGTAGGCCCGTGTGCTCAGATTTGGGTGCACGTTAAAGAACCCCAGGTGGTCGAAATTTCGGGAGCCCTTCACTACGGCGTCTCTCATAATAATGTGGTGGTTTTGGGACGTTAAACCCCACATATCTATCAATCGATCCTAAGAACTGGTGTTGGAAGGATAAATATTTGCGGGAAACTTCGTTACAGAGGAAAGCCGGACAAGTTGGTGTCGATTCATGTTATTCAACAGCGTAGATCCCGTGGGACTGTTGAACAATTGAATGATAAGGAACGGCACCCGTCCTGCTTTCTTTTCAACCATGCTTTGCCATTTGCGTTGTTGATGAACCGAGCTTCCACACTTTTAGCGTGAGCGGCGTGTATTTCCGCTCCTTACTCAATCGACAAAGTTAGTGAACTTATCGAAACGCGGGCTCTACTGAAAGTCCTTGTTCAAGGAATCGCTAACGCAACTTTTTCACAATCAAGCGTCAAATAGTTGCTTTAGCATTGTAGTCTGGCTTTAAATAGAGTTATGAGACACCACAGGCCTGATTTTAAGGCACAATTCCTAGTTGTAAATAATCGAAATTCTAAATATTCAAAATTTGAAATCACATAGAACAAAGAACAATGCGAAGTTCATCAGAAGAATTTACTGCGATCAGCACTCGTACATGACACTAGTGCACGATTCATGCATATTGCCTATTCGTTTTTATGACAACGTGTTCTTGGGGCATTAGCATCCGCCTTCATGAAACGGTACATGAAGACTTCCACGATAACACCTGTTATAATTTCCCACGACATACATCTTGTTCCGAGCAAAGGTTTTGTCTCAGCAGCTTGTTCGAGGAATGTACTCACACGCTATCAGCACTGGCGAAACTTACAGCTAGAGTTGACTAGACGTTGGCAACTGTCGGATATCGGCGCTTATAAAAGAACCACGGTCTTCATCCAATCCCGATACAAAGATTGAAAATATTGAGTTGACAACCAGTTTTCCTTAGTCCCTCATGGTCTACTGCTGTCGTGACATTACTAAAACCAGATAGCTGAAAAGGTAAGCCACTTCAGGGCCTTCCATTTCAGGTAGACCATTGGATGAATAACATAAACAGAATAGACTAAACAAGAAAAAATATTTGTGTTTTGCAATATCTCATCTGTATAAAGTATTAGGACAGATGCATTTCTTTTAGTGCAAACGAATGAATGAATTGGTGTCACTGCCGTGGTTCTTTATTATAGTGTTGATGTATTCAAAAAGCTTTAATGCCCAAATAAAATTATGTCAGCGCTATGAAGCTCTAAAGCTGAGCTAGAGCAGTGCGAGATTCGCCTCTTTTTATTCACGTCAGAAGAAAGCCCAGAGCACTTATTTTTCTGTCCGCAAGATGCGCCCAGTCAAAGTTGTCAATGTGTGCGGCAGTGAAAGAGCTGACACAGAATCCTTGGCACAACGAGGCCCACCTACACTCTCGACTGTCTTGCGAAACGTAAACAACATTCAGTCAAACACAAAGAGCGTGGCAGATATTGCAACAGTGTTGCCAGTTTAGACCCCCACTGCGGCTGAATTCAGACACTTTTATGAACCCTTCTGGCCCAGGGAATTTTCCTCGCGATAACTGCAGCTACATAGGCAACCCCTTGTTGATCAAGTCTTTGTTTATCTGACATTTTGAGTGGCTTTTCAAAAAACGATTGAGAAAGAAAACACACAACGTCACACTTTGTTAATCTTGTACGTATAAGTCTGTTGTCATTAAATATTTTCGTAACACCTTTATCGCCTACATCCCCGATGACATTTTAAAATTTTCTCCACTATTCTAACCTTGAAACTATCAGCTCATTTCACCCCGTGTAGTGTATCATACCAGTTATTCTAAACCAGTTGAAATCCCTTTCTTCCCTGTCTATCTTCTTTTCTCCAGTTCCTTCAGTGCATGGCTATGTGGAGAGTTCATTTGAGTGGCAGCACCGACAAAAGTAAATGTTCATTTGGTAGACACTTTCCACTCTTCCTTGTTTATCTAATCTCTCGCATTCCGATTGCCCTTACCCAAAACTGGTTAGTTAGCAGGAATCAAGTTTCGGTCATCTCACCCACCTTGAAGTTCGTTTGAGTCCTCTCTCCATACATAGAAAACTACAAAACTATATTTGGTGATTATTTAAATATATCTGCATCTAAATCATTTGATATTTATCGAACTCGAAGCATTATTTGGTCAGAAGAGTGAGCATACATCAAAGACGAAGCAATAAAATCAGCGCATGATTTGTCGCTTGACAAACTGCCCAATCGCAGGATGTCTTTTACCAGCAAAAACAACTTGATTGACGTAGATGCGCGATTTTATTGCACTTATCAGCTTCAATGAGCGCAAACACAGCCTTTTTTTTTTCAATGTTATCTCCATTTTAGTCATAAGCAAACATCCAATTCACCTACTTTCGAGATCATGACAAGACCACGTGCAAATTAAACTCGTCTCTAGACTAGGAGCAAAACGAATTCACGAGCTCGGGTACGTGCTGCCTCACTTCTACTTATACTACAGCCATCCGGAGGAACGCCAGCAGTGCTGCACAAATAAAAAAATGAAGAAATAATATCTAGTCCACCCCTCCCCTGCCCCCCACCCCGAAGCTGCTGCTCCCCTGTCAATAGCCTTCACTTCTTGCAAACCAAGCAACAACAAAAATCAATCGTGCATCGCTCCATCTTCAACGCACAGCCACCAATATTTCAAATGGATCTTTGTGTAATCGTTATCAGCCTTCCAAGAAAAGGAAAAATCGCATCAATGAATCGCAATGAACGCCCGCAGATACTGTAATCACTGAAGTGATTCAGTGGAGTTAAGGTCACAAACGAGATATCGTCATCATCATCAAAATGAATCCTCCGGTGTTCAGAAGCAAATATTTCTAATGAACAAGTAACTAGAAACGACGGCACAGTTTCATGAGCGACAGGTACAAAGACGCTTAGTAACAGTTGTAAACACTATTATTACAATCAAGCTTGTCCCCCAGCTCTGTTTCATTATATAATAAATATTTAAATACCGCAAAGTGTCCTTGCCAGGCTCTACCGAGTGCAGAGCGCTTCAGCCAAGTGTAGAACAGTATAGGAATAATTCTAAAAATAAGCATTAATAGAAGCCTTTGTTTGAACCAGCTAGCTAATTCTGTGTTCGACCCATTGACGTGGTTTTTAAGGAAATGTTTATTCTAAGGCTGAAAATATTTAGTCGGTTGCCGTTGTGAGCTATACCGCAAAAAAAAAAAAAAAACGAAAAAAGAACACACGTCTCTTGGCAGAACTTGGGACAGAAATATGTTACTCGGCTGACATAATCTTGCCAGCGATACAGATTTGTGCTGCCAACGGGGTTCATGTCTCACGCGACGACGATATTTTTTTTTCACTGAATTCAATCAAAAGAACAACGTTATCTAAGAACGCAGTGCTTGCAATAAAATAAGAGAAGCGATGTTTACACTAGATACACATTTGCTCGGGCGAGGGCAAGTTAAAGTGACCTCTCACTTTGCGTCTGTTTACGAACAGCGAGGGACTAAGAAGGGATAGGGGATGGTTTGGCGAGATATTCCAAAGCGTTCGCAGAATAATTCCACAAGCAGCAACAGCATCGGTTGAAGCAATCTGTGCGCCCCGGTGGCGACGTTTGTTCTGGAGCCCGAGGCGCCGGGTAAGGAGTACCTGTCATCTAAGAGCGGCCGGTATTTTCCGAAGCCCGTTATATATTTAGAAGCAGCAGAGCGGGCGTCTACGCGAGAGTGCCCATCCGCGTCCCTGCATCAGACGCCCTGCCAAGCTGGCTTCGCCGTCCGCCTACATCGCCGTGCGGCGGAGAGCTATTTGCAAACTGCGACAAGCACCAGAACGAACCGAAGCTCTCGAAGGCGACGGTAAAAGTGACGTGGCCCAGCCTTCTACCGTGGCCCGGCTGCGACGAGTTCGCGTGGGTCGTAACTGCTGCTACGTGGCCGCCAGACCGGCCGGCATGCCCGCTAGCCAGGGATCAATGGCAGCGAGCGCAAAATTTCGTGGGGAAGCCGGGGCATAGGGAGCGACGTCGGCAGTCACCGAGTCTCCCGCCGGGTTGGGGACGAGCCCCCGCGCCCCCATTGGCTCACACTTTCCCAGGCGGCTGACCTCTGTGGTGACCCTCACTCACGTGTTCGTCGTGGTGCGGAGTCCTGTCGTGGATGGGAAGTGTGGAGATGTCGGTGGCGGACGAGGCGAGCGAGTCGCACGGTGACGGGCTCTTGGAGCGCTCCTTGTCCGGGACATGAAGGTACGCCATCTCGCTTAGCCTCAGCTGGTCGGTCTCCATGGCTGGCGGCTCGCACGTAAACCTCGAGAGCGAGCGAACGAGCTTCGAGCCCTGCGCTTAAGCGCCCCTGACGGATAAGCGCCGGGCCGCAACGCACACGAAGCAGCACGGAGCGCCACGCATGCGCCAGGCTCCGCAGGCAGAGACGTCACGCTGTCGTCATAGCAGCTGCGCCACTCCGAGGGGTGTGCGTGGGGTGTGTCACGGGCGGGAAAAGTCGATCCTAGCCGCAGCCGACGGCTCTGAGCCGCGGCTATGTTTACGCTGGTTAGTTCGCTCTCGGCGGCGCTAGTGAGCACCTCGTTCTCTCACCGCGCTCGCTGAGATAGCGGGCCGCTCGCGCCCACGCTGCCGAAGCCGCCGGCGTCGTCCATTGCACAGCTTTTGCGCGACGCCGTTCTACGTACGTACGACGTGTCACGCGATCACGAAGCATCGATAGTTCACGCTACAGACCGCTACGATAGCCCGAAAGGGAACGCTTTTGCGAGCGGCGCACGCAAGCAAAGCTTTTCCGGCTCAGTGGTCCGCGGAGCGTCCTCATCTTTCATCAGCCTTCGTGAGGTAATACTTTTTTGCAGACTAGTTGGTTCATACTTGAAAAATTGAATTGCTGCACAAACTTGAAGAAAAAAACAAGAGAGACAGGAAAGAGTGCAGACTACCAACTGTTTATTGTCGTTTTTTGAAGCCAATTTTTCTTCGTGAGGTATTCGTGCGGTTTTTTGTTTTTTTTTTTTCCAAATACGAGCGCCCCGCTTGCTTGAAAGTATTGTCGAGAACTGTTTTATTACATTGGGCACGTACGTCAAATGCGTACTGGAGCTACGTAGGACGGCCCCTGTGAAGGTGACCCAACGTCTAGTCGAATTGCAGCACGCCTGAAAATCAATGACCTCTTCGTGGCCTCGTTGCCTCTTTCTCTCGAGCTTCCCACGTCGGCACAGCACGTTGTCGTGAACACTGCACGAAGGGGTTTTTTTCTCTCTCTCTCTCTCTCTGTGTGTGTCTGGCACCCTCTCCTCTAGCTCCAAGGAGTGACGACACCCACCCTCGATTGTTGCGTAGGAAGGTCGACGCATGCGGGAAACTGCGGGCACGTGGGCATCTCACCGAGGAAGCTCTGCCATTTACTGATTGGCCCGGAAAACAGTTGCTTCATCTGTCAACCAACAATGCGTCGAGGTGCTGCACGAGACCGCGTCAGTGAAGAGGAAGAAGTATCTCTGGACAGACAGACAGACAGACAGACAGACAGACAGACAGACAGACAGACAGACAGACAGACAGACAGACAGACAGACAGACAGACAGACAGACAGACAGCGATGAAAGATCTTACCGCTTTGGCATCACTGTTACATTTTTTAAGAATTAACGATGGTACAATGGGTCATTAGGCCCATTACACTTCTTTTTTCTTCTAAGCGTTGGCTTCTACGCTTGAAATAGATGTGGAATTGAGTCGCTCTAGCCATGTTTCTTTCTAATAGAACTCTTGGGCCAACAAGCATATAGGCATGGCGTTGTTGTTGAGTGTACCAAATCTGCTTTGTCGAGGTGGGCAGTATTGGCCCCTGTGTAATGTGGTGAAAGCGCATTCTTGATAACAACGACAAGCATTCTGATGGGTAATAGTACACTCGCTATGCAGTAAAACATGCTAACGCAAGTGAGAAAAAAAAAAACAGTTGCCACTACCTTCAGTGAAGGTGGAAATTAAATCACCCGCATGGTTCGCTTTCTCGCAGTATGTTTTTTCGAAACGTGGGAAAAAAATCGCTGCACAGAAATATCCCTAACGAGGGCGTTTTTTATAGTTAATTATTGCAGAATTAAGACAGAACAAAATGTGAAATGTTGTCTGTCAACAAAAACCAACATCACACGCAATATTTCATCATGTATTCTCCACCGTAGCAACATTGTACCTAATTCTGGACAGAATGCCTGCTCTACATATGAGGATGAGAGGCTTGCCCATCGAACCACTTTTGGGAACCAAGATGATTGACGTGCACTGTTTACAGGAAAAAAACAACCGTGACGGGCTGTGCATAAAAGTGTTGATTCGCATCTGGAGATGTGGTTCGGTGGAGATGCGGTATGGTGCAACTGGACAAGAAACTCTTTCAAGTAAATGTGCCTGTATAATAATAATAATAATAATAATAATAATAATAATAATAATAATAATAATAATAATAATAATAATAATAATAATAATAATAATAATAATAATAATAATAATAATAATATTAATAATAATAATAATAATAATAATAATAATAATAATAATAATAATAATAATAATAATAATAATAATAATAATATGGTGAAAATGAAGAACAATCGTTGTTGTTGGGGTTTAACTTTTCAAAACCACCATATGATTGCGAGATAGGCCGTCGCGGAGGGCTCGAGAAATTTCACCCACCTGGGGTTCTGTAACGTTCATCTAAATCTACGCCCACTGATCTCGAGTTTTTTTTCTCCTCCAGCTACAGCCGTGCAAGTACGAGCTTCACCCCTCGTCCATCAGTGCTTCCTTTTCAAGCGAGGGGCAGTCAACCGGCCTGTCAGCCGTCCTCAAGGCGCACAAATTTGTCTTCACTGAAGTAAGAATAACAGTAACGATAGTCCTACCTTATTTTGGAGCCGGCTGTATGTGGGAGCAATACTATTTACATATATGCTAAGAAAAATTTACTGCGTGCGTAACACAGTAACCCTTCACTGGAGCTTAACAAGAAAACAAATTTTAAAAACTAGAAGAAAGCTGCAGATTGTACGCCGCGGACCAACCGTCACTGCAAGTTAGTTTTACACCTTTTTCAAGCTTTCTACGTCAAACGGCGACCATTTAATTTATTAGGAGCTATGATCTAAAGTTGCGCGTTAGAGCATGGATCGACGCCTAACAGCTTATGTTTTGGAGCTATAAAATTCTAATCTGATTGACGGGTTTGTAAGCTTTTCAACAGCGAAGCTGATGTAGCTGGTTGTATTTCTGAGTTGTGACAAAAAAAAAAACATTACCACGAACCGGCACACGCTATCTTCGTCCTCTTCTTCACCGTCGTCGTCGTCTTCGCATTCAGCTTCGCTTCCCAAACACAAGCGCCAATTACTCCGGCGTTGAATGCAACAACCCGGACGGGCGATACAGCGAGTTCAGAAAAAGAAAAAGAGAGGGAAAAAAGAAAAAAATAAAGACAGAGAAAGAGATCATTTTAAAAGGCAAAGATTTCTTCGCGACGCGAGATTCGAACCCGCGTGTAAACTACCCAAATGCGAGCGGCTAGCAGAGCGCAGTAGTCTCGTGTAGCACAGCATAAGAAGTTTATTTGCAGCTTAAGGCGCGAAAACGACACGGACGAAGAGAGACAGTACACACACACGGAGCGCCATTGGAAACACATAAAAGAGAGCCCGATGTACTAGAAATATACGATGTAAGAATAGCAGACTGGGCTTGTTGGTTTAACATATTTGCAGCTTAAGGCGCGAAAACGACACGGACGAAGAGAGACAGTACACACACACGGAGCGCCTTGGAAACACATAAAAGAGAGCCCGATGTACTAGAAATATACGATGTAAGAATAGCAGACTGGGCTTGTTGGTTTAACATATTTGCAGCTTAAGGCGCGAAAACGACACGGACGAAGAGAGACAGTACACACACACGGAGCGCCTCCGTGTGTGTGTACTGTCTCTCTTCGTCCGTGTCGTTTTCGCGCCTTAAGCTGCAAATATGTTAAACCAACAAGCCCAGTCTGCTATTCTTACATACAGCATAAGAAGAGGATGGAAAAGGACAATGAGAGAGAAGAGGTAAGAGCAAAACGTCATATAGAAAGGAAGAGAGATAGAAATAGAGAGAACGAAAGGGGGCAGGAAGATCAAGATGGAGAAAAAGGTGGCGAGAGAAATATAGAAAGCGAGAAATACAAAAGTGGAGATAAAGGAATTAAATATAAAAAGACCGAGAGAGAAATTGAGAGAGAGAAACGGGGAGGAGAAGAATACCGCGAGTTCATACCATTCTAAAGGACAAGAGTGTCTTTTTTGCTTTCCACACTTGCGCGCATTTTCAGTTATTAGTCGACGTTTGAGGTGTCTCGACTTTCTCCTTGCGTCCGCGTTTGCCCGCCCCGTTTCTTTAAGAAGTACCATGCCAGCTCTGCCGCTATACCTGTCTTCGCACCACCAGTGTGGACCCACCCTTATTTCTATTGTTGTGGCCATTATCTTGAATGGTATTCTTCCACATTTCCCGACACCTGCGGCGGCGTTTCCCAACAGCGCCCGAATGACGTCAGACTCGTCATCGTTGCGTAAGCGAGTCGGTGGAGTTTCGTTGGCGGCTCATCGGCCCACGCTTGCCCCTTCCTGCGAAATAACTGGCCCATTCCTGCGAGCGAATCGAACGGTGGCCGCTGCATGTCATCCGCTTTGTTATTTGCGTCATGCCGAAAGGTGATGACTGAGATCGCATGCAGATGTGATCCTTTCGCAGGGTAGCAAACCGGACGCGCCTCTGGTTAACATCTTTCCTTGCTTCTCTCTCTGTCTAATAGACGCGTATTTGTACTTTTATCGAAACGTTTTCTAGCCTGTCCAAGCCCATTATCCCCGTTTTGACAATGGCCTTTAATTTGTGTAGCACGTGAAGACTACGCAACGCGATGCGCGATTGTAGCATCTATGTCGCCTTGTTAAAGGTAAGAAGTTTTCGCTCACTCGGAGCCGGCGGGCTGACGCTGCTTCATGAAGAAATGCTTGAATATCAAGTATATATATATATATATATATATATATATATATATATATATATATATATATATATATATATATATATATATATATATATATATATATATATATATATATATATATATATATATATATATATATATATATATATTAACGTAATGTATACATGACATGTATTGACCGCTTCTTCACACAATAAAGCGCGCAATAAAACGCAATAACACACGAAGCGTCAGTTTAAGTGGTTAGCCCCATGAATGTCTTCTATTTATTTATTTATTTATTGAATACGAACTTGTTAAACCTCCTTTTTCCCTAG